CGCTGCGTGGTGTGAGGGGGCCCCAGCCCCACCAGCTCATCGGTCGGTGAGTGGAGAAACCCCCCTGCTCGGAAGGGGGTTTTGGAAGAGCTGGACGGAGCGGAGGGCAGGGCCACCCGCACTGGCACGGGGACAGGTGTGTGTCCCTTTGGGGTGTAGCTGTGCCGTGGGTGCGGGTGTGCCACCACCTGGCGGGGGTGGGGAGGGTGGGGTGCCAGACGTGGTGTAAGGCAGCACAGCCTGGAGGGGTGGTCGGGTGTTGCCTTCGCCCTGCTGGAGGAGTGATGCTTGACAGGGAGAGGCACAGGAGGACGAAGGAAGAGATTTCCACTTGTATACATCTTAATTCAACTTTTTTTTTTTTTTTCCCCCTATAAATCTTTATTAAGTGGTTTTCCTAACCTGTGAATCAGAGTGGCCTGTAGAGGCAGGAAGGACAACCTCAGTCTTAATCGTGAAACTGGTAACACTTAAGCTTTAATTAAAGGGAAAAAAAAATAAGTATTTTTTCCCCTGTTTTCAGTGGAAGTTCTTGTATCTCATGTCATTTTTTTTTAATCTCCCACTGCTGCCAAAGCACTGAGAATTGCCACAAACAGATCAACATTATCAGATGAAGCACATGTTAAAGCTGCGTTACTTCTGCTGAACAGTTATCCCCAGTGTGGGATAACTCAGTGTTACCTGTAGGTCTCTGAAGGGGGAGGACATCTCTTTCTTGAGCAGACTCACCAGCTCCCTCAGGACCTGAGTGCAGACAGTGCTGGCTTTGCTCTTCCAGCTTGGTGAGTGCTGCCATCCCAGGGGGAGGCCAGGGCAGGGGTGAATTCTCCCATCTGCTTCCTTGCTGGTGCAGCCTAGAAGTGTCTGGTCAGACAGAGCAGAGCCAAACAGTGGAGGGGGCAGAAAAAAAGCCTGTGTGCAGTGTCTGTGGCATCTACTGTAAGTGCTGAAAACAATTGCTTTAACAGCCTGGATGATGGTTCAACTTGGACACTGGGAAACCTGATTGAGCGCCAGTAAATGTATTATTTGGCAAGAGCCTGCGTATTTTGTTGCCAAATAAAACAATGGGCAAAGTTAGGTACCCAGTTTTGCTAAGTAAAACACCACAGAGCATTAGAAATCATGAATTATGGTAATTGTCTTTGTTACAGCAAAGCAGATTCTTCTTTGTGAACCTTTTCTACATGGCTGCATCTTTGAGATGTTACTTTGGTGTCGTCCTGTCATGTAACATCCCTCACGGAAATCTGCTTACAAAACTCTGTCTGCTTTAGACTGACTTTGCTCAGCTGAACAGGAGAGACACAGGATGCCTGACGTTTATACCAACTGCATGGTAAACCTACTTATTCTGCATTCCTCAGTTTATAGCAGGTCACTGCTCTGTAGAGCTGGTTTCTACCAGCCTGCCCCTGCAACATGCTCAGTCTCAAACCTGCAAGCTGGGACAATGGAACAAAAACCTACCCAGAATTTGTCTTTGTGAGTGCGTGTTGTCCAGGTGAGTGATTTACTTTCAGCAGTTTCGTTAAAAAAACAAACCCTTTCAAACTGCTTTTCCAGGTCCTCAGAAGCCAGCAGTTGTTACTGCTTAGGGTTAAACATTACGAGAATGGACACAGCACCACATTTTCACATTTATAGAGTTTCCACAGCAGAGTTGGTCCATGTCTAGTGTCTCACTGTGAGGACAGAGTGGAATTGCATCTGAATTTATACCCGCTGGCTAAATCATCACTCAGAACTTCCCAGTACTTCTTGCACAGACAGCAATGCCATCTAAGTGTGCTGTCTTAATTCCAGATCAGGCATTTAAGTTTGCAATACTAAAAGCTTCAGGCAGTTCCTCTCCTCCACCTGGTATAGTGTTGTAATATGCTGTTACTGTGCTCAGAGGTAACTGCATTTTAACTGGGATAAAATGATTGACATGCAACCAAAACTACAGTTACAGAGAAGGGGGCCATGTTGGCAAGTGAATTTCTTACAGACGTGTGGTTCTGCACAGCAAATACTTGCAGAGAAAATGTGGAGGTCTGATGAGAGATGAGAATAGTGTGCTTGCTCGTGCACAGTGATTTTGTTAGGTTGTTTCTTCACAAAGAGCAATGTACTAGAAGTGGTGCATGATATGTAAAATGTGAGCAATATTGAACTACAAGGGCATGTTTATCTATCCTAGGTAAAAATTCTTCTGTCCTAAACAGACAGAAACAAGGATGAGTATAATTCTTTAATAATTAAAAAAAAAGTCAGGAAATATTTATACCAAGGAATGTAGACCTTTTGTTAGTTTATAGGCTTGGTGGATGCTTGACAAACAAAGGTGTAGTTGAAAGTTAGCAGGGAATTTAAATTCTGCCTTGTCCCCCGCAAAGTGTTGCTTAATTTTAAAATAGTATGTGAAGCCTTGCTCCTGTCCCCATTCAAACTTGTCATGTGTTTTATGAGGTCTCTGCAGACCTACTTCCACCAAAATGCTTTACCTCAGGTGGAAAAGCCTTGTTAACTGGGCAGGAGGCAGATCATACTGCCACGCTGGAACTAAGTGCTCCTTTCCCCATGGCACAGCACTTTACAGACTGGCTCTTTCCTCTGCTCTGCAGTTACTAAAAGGCAGTGATAACCAACCCATACAGCCAGCTGGAACAGCTAATGTAAACCAGAGCCTGCTCCTACTTCTCTTTTCTCCTGTCCTCTCCTCTTTCAAAAGGTATGTGCATGCAAACAACATTCTCAAGTCCATGTTCACATTAGGCAGAGGTCTCACTGCTGCACGAGAGAGTTTGGTCAAGTCATGGGGGAAGAGGCTGGAGGACCCTCTGACAAACGTATCCCCCAGAAGCAGAAGATGTCCGAGTGGCTGAATGTCACACCACGGCATCTACCAGTGTCAGTACACTTTCTGCATGCAGAGTTCAAAAAGCTGGCAGCTGCTTTTCACTGGATCACAGGAATGACCAAATGAAAGCCACCAAAGAACAAGAGTAAGAGCAGGAGGTCTTCCTGGAAGTACCTCTGAGCATTCATGGAAACATCCTGAGATTAAGAGACAGGGAGTGCTACAAACTCCAGATATTGGTATTTTTGGCACTTGCACTGTCTCTTATGGACTGATTTCCTTGGGGCAACTCCTATACCCACGCAGTAGTCAAAGGCTTCAGTCAAAAATATGTATGTTTTAATGTAATTATTAAATATCCAACAATAACCATTTCATTAGGTACCCCTGAAGCCAAATAAAGTGTGCTTTCTGTGCCATAATAATCATACTTTTTAAAGCTTAGGCTTGGTGAGTCAGAATCAAATAGGGGGGCAAACCTTGTGACTGTCTGGAGACTTTTATCAGGTTGAGACATCCAACAGCTTTTGAGATCTGCAGGATCGTAGGATCAACTTGTTAGCTGCAGATTACTGAGGCAGAAGAAAGTGCTCCTACACTTTTTCTGGAGTTTCTGCTCCACACATCTGATATTGCTACTAAATTCTGTTTAACAAGTTCCCTACTGCCACTACACTGAGTCAAACTCTATGTACTTTAATATTTTTGGAAATGGCTTTCATTGGCATGTAAAATCTCTAGTCTGACAGACATTCTCATCACAGTCCAAGGAGTGCTCCAAAGTGGTGGAAAAAAATCAATTATTCCCATACAAAAGTATCTGTGGTTCTGTGGCTCATGCACACTGTGATCCTTGAGCAGCCACAGAAGTCAAGCAGAGGTCAGGCAGATACCCAGTTTGAGTAGAAGCAAGTGTAAACAGAAAAGTGAAGGAAGCTATTAAAAAACCAGAGATTAACATGCTCATCTTTTACAGGCTTGATCTCAGGGTACAGGTATGTCCTGCTTGAAATAATTCAGCATTTGCACTGGGATGCTGTGACCTGGGTCATTGTAGCGCAGAAGCAGTTTTTTCCTTCTCTAAACAAAACAGAAGGCCAGCTTTATCCTTTCTTTTGGTTTTCCTTTTTTTTTTTTTTTTTTTTTTTTTTTTTTT